TTAAAGCTTGGATAAAAATAAACCTTACAATGTATGTATTGAGTTTCTCAAACACAATCAAAGAGATTCAGTTACACCAGTAGGTCTTTGTCTACGTGACAGAAGTTGCCAATCCATCAATAAACACAAAGCAGCAATTGGGACGTTGTTTAAACACTAAACTAATATTATGGCGATGTTATGTATTGCTTTAATATGTACTGGCATAACTGAATAATCTCCCACACATGAGACTTGATCTCCAGTCTTAATCTCACACTGTACTACACAATCTTCTAAACTGAAAACCAGAAACTCTCAACTTTATGTTTGGCATTTTATGAAGGTCAGAGGCCCTAATGGTTCATTCTAGTCATAAAAATGTAGGTTTGGCCTTGTGTTACTCAACCCATCTGTAAGTGTTTGCCTTTGTCACTCGGCTCATGTTGTAGTACTGCTCCAGCTTGTTAATTTATGGAATAAGGCTCTCCCTAGCTTACATTTGTCCTTGCTCTTCCCAGTTCCATATTAGATGTCATTCAGGCACAATGCCAAAAACATCTGATTCGAGGTCATGCACCACTTCATTGCCCTTCTCACAAAGCTGTTAACATCTGTCTAGCTAAAGTCACAGACTACTGCTCCTCTATAGAGCTAAACTGCACTTTGATTAGCTTAATTCTAAACGATTAAGAAATAATGAGAGCATATTTTTTATTTGATTTGCCTGGTTAAAATTATGGTTGTCAACACAGTAGCTTAAGTCTAGTTGACTGTATGTTTTTAAAAAAGTACAGGACTGAGCAAGGCAATAAATGAAAATATACAATTATGTAGCCAAAAAATGTACACATTATACAGCACATGTCAGCATTAGCACTAATGTGATAGAATAACTTAGTAACCTTATCTGAGTAATCCTTCAACTAACGTCATGACTGTTTGCACCTGGTAACTCTCCCATGACACACACAACCGTATGAGCAAGGAACACGATGGAACTATCTACCAAGTACTGTGTACATAGAGCAAATGCCACCCACAGGAATTATGCCATCATGATGCATAGCTAGAAATGCATTCACCTACAAAAGGATAAGTTCCGAAATTTACAGAGAAACTTTTTTTTTGAAGAAATTCATATGGGTCTAATATATATATATATAAAAAAAACAAGATTTACGTTTCCTCTTTTATAAACACTCTGGAATCCGGTTGAAAAAAAGCATATGCTGGTTAGGTATGTTTTGAAGCATGGTAGTTGGTTTGAGGCTGGTTTAAGCTGGTCTTTTAAGCTGGAGCAACTATCTCTTGCTCAGGACCAGCTAACAACCAGCTCAGGACCAGCTTAAACCAGCTCATGACCAACTAAGGACAAGCGTAAACCAGCTCAAACCATCTACCATGCTTCAAAACATATACCTAACCAACATATGCTGGGTTTTCAACATGGAATGGTGGTGATTTCATTGTGGTTGCATAAGTGCTTGTAATTATTATTATTTTTTTTGTACAAACGGAAGTCAAAATCTGAAGTAAAAATCTACAGATTTTGCTGTTTCCATATTTTTTAACGATTTCATAAAAGCCTTTCAATATATGTCTATGAGCTTTTAAGTTATTAATCAACAGTGCAACTCAGTTTTGACTTCATTAAAGAAAACATATTTAATGGCCAAATTCTCAGTGTAGAACTACAATGTTAATAATTCTGAAGAGAAATTCCATTCCAAGAGTGAGAGAACACACCAATGCTCCCATCTATTAAAACACACACACACACACACCACTTCACATCTTCTGGATCACCACTTCCCCAATCAAATCCAAAGCTAACTTTTGTATAGTATTACTTAATCCACAACATTGCTGTAAGTAATTTTTGTTTAAAAATTGTGTGACTAAAGGCTCTCCAAGTATTACTATATTTTAAAAGAGGGTCACTCAGTCATTTCAGTGTTATATGCATTTCAAACAGCAGTCTGGTCCAGTGCATGTAGAAGAACAATTTAAAACGTGCTCAGCCTTTGAAGAGCTCTCATTAATTCCAAGTAATGATGGATGAAAACTGCATGTGGTGACACTGGAATATGTCGATGTGCTTTTTCATAAGCTCGGCTGTGACATGTGGAGTCCAGAAATCACCAATCGCAGATATACAGCTACTGCACCAAAAAAGAATTGATACTTAAAGTATAAACATAATTGGATTAATCAAGTGCAAATGTGCCCTTTTAGGATTTTATCTAAAGTGTGATGACCAAAAACTGCTAGCGGCTCTAATTTTCCAATACACCCTAAACTTCACACCATACTTAATCTCCTAAAATCATCAAAATCATTTAGCATGAAAACAGAAGATTAACTTGTGACTTAATATTCACCTCCATGCCCAGCTCAGCACAATGGCAGCTGAATTCACAGCGGGCGAGAAAACATCTTCTTGGCATAATAACTTCAAGCATATCTGCATCCTCCAGCTGTGGCCGCCTTAGCATTCATGAGCAGTGAAACATTTTCCATGTCACTGAAAATGAAGGGCCAGCACATTTCATTGGAGGCCAAGCATTAGACAGAGCGGTACAGTAAGATAGAAGACAAGTATAGATTGGATCTTTGAAGTATGCCATCAAGGGAAATTAGAAATCAGTGCGTGCAGTGATCGCACTTGGCTTAGGTCTTGACATAAAAAAATTAATCACTTTCTATCCCCACACCAAATCTCCATTTGACAGAGAGAGTGGGCGCTCTGCCCCTCTTTAAAAAAATCCCTTTGATTCTCACACCTGAAAGAATCCTTCCCTCATCCACTTCAGTCAGGTATCCACTCACTTCTCATTTGTGTGTTTGGCTCTAAAGTGCGGAGGAGAAACGATGCGGCATCTGAAAACTGTGATTGAGGGCTGCGTTGCATGTCACTGCCAGGTTACTAAGTGCTGGTTTAATGGCCACTTTAGTCAACAACTATATTACCCACCTCCACGAAACAACAACCTCCTCTTGTATCAGCAGAAAGGCTGATAATAACAAGCCACGAGAAAACACTAGAAAAGGGGAATAAAACTCAGCTGGCTGTGCAATTTACCAAAAAAGGATCACTATAACATCCAAATGGATCTCTGCATTAACTGAAGTGTTTCAGGAAACTCAGAGTGTTGTAAAATGAAATGTGAGCTGCATAAAAAGCAAGTGCACGTTTGCCTCCACAGCACCGGGACAAAGCGGGAACATTCTTTTTCTTTAATCGATCCAAAGTATTGCCTACAGCCATGGTCCGGGACACATCAGGATCTAACTCGATTTCCTTTCACTTCATCAAAAGGTCCTAGAACAATCCTTTTTCAAAGTGCCGGAAGAAGCTTCTGCTTGCTTATCATGACACAAGAACAGCTTGTTGAGAAAATGGCACTGATAAGAAGAGTAGTAAAAGTAGTAAGCCAAAACACAATTAACTTGAAAAGAGCAAGTTTGCACCATGTTCTAGAAGATGTTAAGATCTCCAAACACCTCTTTATAACTTCAATATATACTAGTTTGCTGGGCTAGTGTACCATTCAACTTAAATGCTATACCAGACCAGTACTTTTAATGGTATAATGTAAGCATATCCATAGTAGCCAAATTTGCCATGTCACTTTGTAGTGCTATCTATCCAACATGTCAGATTAGAGAAGCGCAGTGCTTCGCAGGTGATGTTCAGTGAGAAACTAAAACCATGGCAACTATGGCTGACATCAATAATGCGGACTAAAATTAGCATCAGTCCAGAGAGCAGGTGGAGGAGGAAATCCTCTATCCCTCCACCCACCAAACTAAAGACACTCAGACAATGAGATCGGACATCTGTAGCACCTCTTTAACTAAATTTCAAAGATCTCTTTATGCATGTTCCACAGGTCAATTAACTGTTCACCTAGGCCAACAGCGCCCCCTTGAGCTGACTGCGCTTCAATTAGAAACAAATAAAAAAATAATAAGTAGGTAATAAATAAGTAGCCAAGTAAGCTAACACATAACCAACAAGATGTGTACATTTTATAGATGATACAGAAGGTTATCAATTGTGGATAAAGCTTAAAAATACAAATCTGAGTGGGAACCTGCTGGAAGGAAACTATCTAGATGTTCCATATCTGAAACAATGACCACTCACCTTTTACCTCAGATGATCAAACTGTCAAAATGACAAGTGCCATTGTAGCCAGAAGTTCTCTGCAGGGTAAGAAAAGACAGCAAAATACACATGTGGAGACAGAGAGAAACGTAGGGCTTAAGGCTATCTGAAGCTTTTAAAATGTACAATGTTATATTGATATACTTGCTATATTTAGCTACTTGCTAGGTATCTGGCATTAACCATGGTTTTATAGGCTAGTAAAAATGTGGCAACCGTAGTTTTTTGGCGCATTCATTACCATTTGTATAAGCAGTTTCACCACAAATACCATTAGTGTAGCAAGACCATGGTTAATTTGTGGTTACCATGGTTTAACTATAGTAACCATGGTTTTTTGGTTTTATTCATAGTATATCATAGTTAATTTCCGTAGGGGCAGTACTACACTCAAATGAGAATCAGCTGATGCTCTCCATTAGAACAAACTGTAGGAATTGCAGGGCTTCTCTTTTTCTGTCCTCTTATATTCTGAACAATAATATTATTGTAATGCTTCTGAGGCCCTGATACATCAGATTCACTTTTACAGGACTAGCAGTGAATTCCCAACAGGTGTTTGCAGTGTGCAGATGTAATGTCATTAGGCAACTGCAACAAAAATACACACTCATTGAAAAGTATCATGGGAAATGCATTGTAGTACTACAATATGATAAAAATACATGAACCATTGGAAAAGGTATTGGATGAAAATCCCCTGTGACTGTGATGAGGCTATAAACACAATGAAAGTCGAACCAATGTCACTTGGAGACAGTAACAGTGGATTCAGACTAGTTTTAAATGGACAAATAAAATCCAATTAATGAGAGATTAGTCAAGTAAATCACACTCAGGAAAGATATTATAGTTTGGAAATTTTATTTACAATTATTACCGAGTACGCTGCTTTTGTTCTAGATTCATCTTTTCCCCCTGCAGAGAAATTGCTCAGATGCATAAAATAGATGCTACCAATGAAAGAGTATATAACTCATCATGAATGCTGCTTACTAACCATGCCACTTTTAAATAAAGTCTTAATGGATTTATCCTTAATCAGCTTTTCCCATCAGAACACAAAAAGGCACACAGATGAAGCACACAGGATATTTTATTCAGCAAACCCTTATATAGAAAAGACTGCAGGAGAAACCTAAATAAGCAATGACAATAAAATAGCATATTTCTATTAATTACTATAAACACTTTCATGAACATACAGATATCAGTTAACCAGCCAGAAGTCATCAGAAGATTCAATCAGTGATGATGAAAAAGACAGTGTATTAATTATCTTTTCAAATGCATAGTTCATATTCAAGGTACATGCACATCCCTTTTGTACAAACAATTACTAATACTTTCAAATAAACAAAACCTTAGGAATCTCACCCTCTCATAAGTGAAAAAGAAGAATATAAGCTCATTGAATAATCAAAGCTGGCTAAATCACCCAATGTTCATCAATCTCCAACACACTCCTAGTGTTTACAGTTCCTTGTCTGTGATTGGTTCCTCCTCGATCTGCTGCAGTACTGCGAGATCACATGGCTGTGGGCTGCCCAGCTGAAAAGAGAGAAAAATCATCATAAAGAACATCAGAAATCACTTGGTGAACTATGTAACTGAGCCGCATATACTGCAGAGATGTGTGGCCTACATTTGAGTCGCATATAGCAGGAGTTACAATAGAGCTGTTGGTTTCGTATTCTGACTTCTGCTCCTGCTTCTGAGCCTCCCAAATCAGACCTGCATTTAAAGCACTGCAAACACAAGATGAAAGAACACATTGTTAGAAAGACGGAATCCTCCATGTAATGCCGTATCGCACACTCACCTCCATATAAGAGTGAGAGAGAAAGAATCCTAGCTTGAGGTCAATGGCAGCAGCATCAGAGGATATGAAATTGCAGTAAAAACACCAGCCGAAAGGACCAGAAATAACCCGTCAACAAGATTAGCAGGAGGACAATGCAACGTGAATGAGAGGATGAGCAGAAATACAAATGATTGGCAATTGGAGAATGACGAGGATGCGCGAGGAATGATTAAGCTCTAGATGAGTCACATACAGCTGCGCTGAAGGTAAAGGCATTGGAATAAATTCAGGAGGAAATTCAATAAGAATGAATTATGTCCACTGTCTGATAGCATCATTTATTTACAAATACTTGTCTGTGCTGTTTTAGCACTCGATTCACTTTATAAATATGCTAAACGCATTATGCACTGTGCACACTCCCAGTTTTGAGTGCTAAGCTATGGAAGATACAGCAGATTACTGCAATTTGGAGTACTTAACTGGGACTCCATCACTGTGATCCAGACACATAAACTGCATGTTAAAATACATAAAGTGTGCTTGATTACAGAACATTTTTAGTTATATGTCCCATTTTAACACTATTCTCCATTATTTAATCATCATTTGTGACCCTGGACCACAAAATCAGTCATAAGTAGCATGGGTATATTTGTACCAATAGCAAAATTATGGCTTTCTCTTTTATGCCAAAAATCATTAGTATCTTTAGTAAAGATCATGTTCCATGAAGATATTTTGTAAATTTCCTACCGTAAATATTTAAAAATAAAAAATTTTAATAGTAATATGCATAGCTAAGAACTTCATTTGGACAACTTTTAATGTGATTTTCTCAATATTTAGATTTTTTTGCACCCTCAGATTCCAGATTTTCAAATAGTTCTATCTTGGCCAAATATTGTCCTATCCTAACAAACCATACATCAATGGAAAGCTTATTTATTCGACTTTCAGATCATGTATAAATCTTTCTTTCAGTTTAAAAAAATGTATCCTTATGACTGGTTTTGTGGTCCAGGGTCACATTTGATGAATTATACTTGCAAAATGTACACAGGCATGTCTTAAATACAACTCTATAATAGCGCAATGTTTACTGCACCAGGCACCTAATGAATAAGGTGCACTCTATAATTCTATTCTAATTTGCATATACATGATGTGTGTTTATGCTAAAAATGGCGCAGTGCTAAACCAACATATAACTAGTAAAATCAGACTATGTGTGGTTGGTGAATAAGACATGTTTCTGGGACATGCGATGGGATTTTTGGCACAGATGCAATCAAAATCCTCATAGTACAACAATGTTATAGAAGCAAAATCACAAATATTTCAGTTTTGGCAGAAACAGATTTTTGTAGTTCAGCCTTTAGAATGCATATGGTTTGTTCTTGATGGTTTATGCTCATTTGAGAGAAATAAATGACAGTCTTTTAAGAAAGAAAGATAAGTCACAGGGCAGTGCTGTCAGTGCCGTTATCCATGAAGCAGCTAGAATTGGCATTTTGATTGAGTTTATACATGCACAGAACAACTGATTAGAATAATCATAAAAGCAGACAGAGCACATTAGTCAGGTTAGTCACTGATGAAGCCAGGCTGGACCTGACCTCCGAGTAGCTGAACGCTCACCTTGAAACAACTCAAATGATAACAGAGCCCCTGGGACTCGATGATCATGGCTGCTCCTTTGCCCAGTGGTGTATTACAGAACGAACATATTTTCCTGCCACTCACTGACCTAGATTACAGAAAACATCATCTGAAGCCCAGCAACACAGACTTGCACACAGCCCATGGCTCATGTGGGGTATGGGAGACACATGGGAATGGTTGGGTGGTATGGTTTAGATATGCGGTTCTCAAATGGTTTGGTTTCACAAGCCCAAGAGAGTATCAAAATAGTTTATCATACAAAATGTCAACAAAAATGTATTATGGTGCAGTCACATCAGCAAAATTTCTGTGAAATTTTACAAGCAAATAGATCCACTTTTCATTGACAATAGTGTAGCACAGCTCACACATATGTCACTTTGAAACAAGCAGCTTTCTGTTGGTCAATGCAATTTGTGTGACCAACTTGAATCTGATGCTTGAATCTCAAGCAAAATTCCAGATTGCACAGATTCCTATTGAAATTATTTAAATTTGATCATGAAGATACACAAAACAATGGTAAATGTGACAGCAACTTACTGACATCCCATTAATATTTTGTTTACTTGTTTTCCAGTAAAACTTCTCCATATCCTTAAAGCAAGATTAATTTACATGAGAAGCAGTACTGCATATCATATTAAGATGTGTTGTCTCAGATTGGAATGTGCCAGTTGAAGCCTTTTGTTTTGCTATCCAGAATTAGTCTCATTTTATTATTCTGCTGTCATTAACCTACCAGTTGAGAACCACTGTTTTAGAGTGTTCAGATTACAATGACAATTTCCTTTTTTTAGTGAGGAATACCTATTCCGTGGTGGAGCTCGAGGCTCTGGCTCTGGTGTAGCTGCGGATGGGAACCAGGACTGCCTGAGGGAGCTCATGGACTGAGATGACTGCAGATTTGCAGACTCTGGACGTCCACTCTGGTATGACGAGGAGCCAGAGAGGGACGAATGAGGCCGGCTGTAGTCTGGTATGGACACGGTGCTGTTAGATGTGCTCCATGATGATCTCCAAGAGGAACGAGGCATATCGAGGTTGTCAAGAGACTCGCCTCTGCAAGCAAAGTGAGCTTGTCAGTCTTTATGCTTGAAGCTCACATCAATTGCATTTTCCTCTTTGCTTATTTCATTTGATAATTTTGTTACAAAGAAAAATACTGCTGTCCAGTACTGACCTCCTGATGGGCAGATCCATCAGTTCTTTGGTGGTAACATTGGCAGCGCTCTGCTGGCGAATCCAGCTGTTGTCTGTGTTCAAGGAAGTCTTCTTTTTCATTTCATGAAGGATCTGCTGCCTCTCCACCTCAGCCTGAGACTGGGGCTCTTTCTTATAGTCTCTACTGAACTCACCCAGACCACTGCTCGCTGCTCGAGCCAACAACAGAAACACACAAATCACCATTAATAACAAAGTGACAAGTTGTAAATAGACTTGGTAGACATCAAGAGCAAAAGCAATTGATTTCAGATATTCTTCATCCGATTATATATAGTGGGGCCTGAATGTTTGAGACCACAGTGGATATGTGGGATTCAAAATATGATGTAAATCTGAAAATAAACAAGCACAACATAATGCTTCAAAAATCACTCTAATATGGTCATTTGGTGCTCAAAATAAATAAATAAATCAATGTTGAAAACAACTGTCCTGCTTAATATTTTTGTGGAACCCAAGAAACTTTTTTACAGGATTCTTTGATGAACAAAAAGTTCAAAAGAACAGCATTACAGAATATTTCTGTAACAATGTAAAAGTCTTTATTGTCACTCTAGATCAATTTCATTCTTGCTGCATAAAATTAATTACTTCAAAAAAAAAAATTTGACAAGAAACTTTTCAACGGTAGTGTAATGCATATTAGATGATTGTAAGAAAAAATATTAACTTAAAAAATGAGAAAATAGAAACATTTTCATTAGTGGTCTCAGACTTTTGGACCCCACTGTTTTTATATTACAGTTTTTAAATCAAATGCACACTGATCACGTGGACACAGGCTCGATTTCAACTGATTTTGCTGACTTTGCATCTGTCAAATTTGCATAAATCAGGCCAAGCTGATTGGTTGGTCTGATTGATTGGCGTGGGTTGAGCCGCGCACACCTCTCTCTGGATCTCTGTATTTCATGGCATTGAGGATGCTCCTCCTCTCAAGCTCTAGCTCACTCGCTGCCTGCTCTCTCTGTATCTGAGTGTTTTTCTTTCGCCTCAGTTCCTCTTCCAGCAGCCATCCTGCCAAACCCCTGTGTCTGCCGTACACACCTGCAGAGAGCCGCAGACTCTACAGCAACCATCTTACTTCAGCCCTTACAATGTGTGGCCCACTGACAACACGCTCTTGAGGATTCTGACACGATCCTTTACATAGTGCTGTCTCAGCGGCTCCTTATTGGTCAAAAGAACAATAGATACACATAAAGGTTTAGAGAAAATATAAAAGCTGCACTGACCTTTAATATCTGGTTTTGCAACCTCATCAAGTTCTGGAGTTGATTTGGAAATAGATCTGCAAACCAAATTGGAAGACAAAAGATTACGCCGTCTGATAAACATACAGATGAAAGATCTTATCAATGTATAAATCCTATATGGATGCATAGCCTGAAAGCACAACTTTATTAAATACAAATGGGAGTGCAAACAGCAGAGTCCTATTACCTGTGTGAGTAGGATAATTGAGGGTAAACATTGGGATAGCCAAAGGAGTCCACCTTACTGTGGCCAAACAGCAGAATCAGCACAGACAAGCAGATGTTCATATAGTCATGATTGAACAACATTAATAGAAGACAAATTAGTCTGGTTAATAATGCATGAGTAAAAAAACAGACTAGAGCTGGGAAGTATGACCAGAATCTTAAATCATGGCACAAGTATTTTGTATCGCAGTATCGGCATGTATCAACATATATTTATTTTTTGCTGTAAAAAATTATGAAAAATTTATTTTACACTAACAATTAATGACACGTTACTATAATAAATTACTAAACTAATTCTACACTGATACACTAATATAATATTACAAAAAATTATATTTAAAAATGCTGTTCTTTTGAACTTTCTATTCATCAGAGAATCCTGAAAAAATGTGTTCAACGTTGATAATAATATAAAATGTATCTTGAGCACCAAATCAGTATATTAGAATGATTTCTGAAGAATCATGTGACACTGAAGACTGAACTTAGACTGGACAGGAATAAATTACATTTTAAAATATATTAGCATTAGAAAACTGTTATTTTAAATTGTTAGAATATTTCACAAAATTGCTTTTTTATTGTATTTTTTCAACAAATAAATGCAGCATTGGAGAGCTAAAGAGACTTCTCTTTAAAAAAAACATTCAAAATTATTACTAACTGCACTTTTCGATGATACTATTAAATAACCATGTGGTATTGCTTTTTGGTAAGTCACTGAATTAAATATTCTATAAAAGAAAGGTATTTTATCTTATTTGGTCATATCATCAACTCTAAATTCTGATTGAATGAGCCGCATTTGAAGGCGCTGTAAAACAGACGATATGCATACACCTGTGACCGTACTTCAGCTAAAATTACTGCAAATTCATTTTCTTTAGCATAACATCATCTTTGTTTCCATTCATTTAACAATGCAAAGCAGCCCTGTTCACTGATACATACATATCAGCCGACGCACAGAAGGTATTGCAAATTTATAGTGTCATGCCGCCCAGCCCTAACACAGACAATGTTAGTTTAGTCAGGTTACTTGCAGCATTTGTCAAGCATGATATTCAGTGCCATTCCTTCATGTTATTGTTCTGGAAGTAAACAAAACTGAAATGCATGCTTGAGAAAATTATACATTCATATCAGTATGACACAGATAATGAGAGATGGGACATAAATTAAAGTGAGAGAAAAGACTGCTGAAATGACAAAACTCACTCTTGCTCCTGATATCTCTTCTGCTCTTCCAGTCGCCTCCTCTCCTCTTCTCTTCGATTCCTCTCTTTTTCTTGAAGGAGGCGCTCTTCCTCTTCTCTATTCCTCCTCAGTTCTTCAAGGTACTCTTGCTCCTCCCTCTTCCTCCTCTCTTCCTCTAAACGCAGCCTATCCTGTTCTCTTTTTTTCCTCTCCTCTTCTTCTCTCTTCTTCTTCTTCTCTTCCTCAAGGCGCTCTTGTTCTTCTCGTTTTCTCCTCTCTTCCTCTAAACGCATCCACTCCTCTTCTCTTCTTTTCCTCTGTTCTTCTTCTCTCTTCTTCTTCTCTTCCTCAAGGCGCTCTTGTTCCTCTCTTTTTCTCCTCTCTTCCTCTAAACACCGCATCTCCTGTTCAACAGCAATCAAAGGATTTTTTTGGTGTTTGACAGTGACAGTGTGATAGGGTTTACATACCCCTTGCAGTAACTGCCAGATGTATACCATATAAAATAATAGTTTGCTGCAAAATCGTCATAAAAAATGGCTTATATGAACTTTTGAAAAGGGTAAATTGTGTTAAATCGGTTATTTTCCTGAATTCTCTTATTTGTTTGTTTGTTTATTTGAATATACAATCTCTCGTGGATATGATCAAATTATTGCTGAGGCATCTGTAAAATACTGACTTGCAACGGTTATGATAAATAAATAAAATATTAAATATACCTCCTCATGTTTTTTGAAGTTCTCCTTCTCAAGCTCATGCTGTGCCTTTCTCCACTCCTCTTCGAGTTTTTCTTGGTCCTTTCTGTACTTCTCCTTCAGCAAGCCAAGCAAGGGGAAAACAGGAGAGAGAGGGAATGAAAACAAAAAGAAAAGACCATTGATTGTAGCTAAACAATGCTTCAAAATTACAAAATGCATAATTACACTGTGCTTTTGGCATTTATTAACAAACAATGAATTAGTTTGCCACCAATCTTCGCAATCATAATACAAATATTCTGAATATGCAATAAACATACACACAAACAGAATAATATTGTGTTTTTTGCTAAATTAAAAGGTCTACATGATGCATGTCTAGTTTTGCATTCAAGAAACACAACAACAAACTTGAGTTTGTATGCCAATTAGTAGAACAAAATGTATCCTAGTTTAACTAATTTCTACAATCTCAAGAAAACAATAAACTCACACCAATTCATTTAAATACTATAAATCTATTTTACCCAACATAATTATGTTTAATTCATAACAAATGCATGAGCACAGATACTATAATATTTACCTGCAGCAAACGCTCCTGCTCTTTCTGCCATTTCTCCTGTCGTTTGCGCTCTTCTTCAGGGTCCCAGGACCGGGTAGTGGATGTAGTGATGGAGGGAACGGGCAGCTACAGACACAGAAAACGCTTTTAATTATTGGAGCCAACCACTGGCCAAATAAAATACCACACAGATCCTTTCCAAGACCTTGCATGATCACATTGTCTTGTCAAAGATGCAAAAAGAAGAACCAGGCCCCACAACTATATAATTCACTTAATCAGATCATATGCATGTCAACAACAGTGGTTTGATTAAAAGAAAACATATGAAACAACTTACATTTGATATTGCTGTGTCCGATCCACCTGTAAAAACCAGCTACAATTAGATTCTTCTGAATAAATACATTGTAGCCTATATTTTGAATGAAACCCTTCTTGATAGCATGAAGGGAACACATGAACAGCATTCCATCCCAAATATCTCATAGAATAATATCTGTTCAAATAAGAAACCCATAACCCAACAGCTCCATAAATAAATGTTAAATTAGAACCACATGCAATGGCTTGAATAAACAAACACATGCAAAGTCTTCAATAACCAAACCAAATGAATAATACATACACACATTTGGCCAGTCTTTAAATGCAATGTCACATGCAGAAGCACTGGTTATTAGTAAAACCAAACCCCACATCCATGTCCAGCACAGCATGCACTATTCACATTCACAACACAATACCAACACACTCCACACTGATTACTGATTTCTTTGCCTGAGCTGCTCTGATAATCAGGGATATACAGCAAGGCTGACTTGAGTGTGAGAAGGTAGTACAGCCTCATATTCGCATAAACACATTTGGCCAGTCTTTAAATGCAATGTCACATGAAGAAGCACTGGTTATTAGTAAAACCAAACCCCACATCCATGTCCAGCACAGCATGCACTATTCACATTCACAACACAATACCAACACACTCCACACTGATTACTGATTTCTTTGCCTGAGCTGCTCTGATAATCAGGGATATACAGCAAGGCTGACTTGAGTGTGAGAAGGTAGTACAGCCTCATATTCATATCTGTCTCATCCTGAATTCTTTCATTTATGCCTATGGGGAAATTCTCTGATATTAAATCAATGTGGCAGGTATCAGCAAGATATGGACTGTCTATCCCTCTGATGCAGTTTCCTCTTTTTTATTTAGAGTGCTTTGTATGTTGGCATGGTTCCTGACATGCTGTCTTTAAGAGGTCTTCAAGAGCATGACAACATAAGAGAAAATAGAAGAAGAAAAAAAACTTTTAAGGTTTGTTTGCACTGATAGTGAAAAAGCAACCAAAGGTCGTAATTTTTCAATAAGGTTTCATGATCTGAGGCGATGTAAGCAACAACAATCATTGGCAATGTAACAAATTTGAATTTGTTTCATAATTTACTCATTCTTATGTCATTTCAAACAGAACCAGTATTATTTATATAGTGTTATAGTACTCACTACAGAAAACAACTTCAGAAGGCTTGAAATTTAGTTGTGTGGACCATTTTTATGATATTGTATGGTGCTTTTTGTGTCAGTTTTGAAGCCTGACAGCTTCAGGTCACATTGATTGTAATTACACTGAAAAAAACATTGAAATCAGTCTTCAAATGTTCTCCTTTTGTCATAGGTGGCTTTGGAAGAATATGATGGTGAGTAAATAATGACAGAATTGTAATTTTTAGGTGAAATATTGCACTATTTACTCATGAATTTTCCTCTACTTTTTAAAGTACTCAGACTTCTGTAGACAGCATGTCAGAGCTCGAAATGGAAGTGGACACTGCACACTCAACCCCCCTTTACCACAGAGGTAGACCAGAGAACTGACTGTGAGCCCTGCAGAGGGAAGAGCACAGAGGTTATGAGGGGCTTCTGCTAGAGAGAGGAGGAGGAGGATGGCAGGATGAAGACTTAGCAGTTTACCCACAGCCCACGAAACACAAAGCCTGAACGCACCAGCACTTGACTGATGCTGTTCTGTTACCTTGTTCAAAAAACTCTGATCTCCTTTTTAAGTTTTTCAAAGTAATGGATTCTACATGGGAGATAAAAATGTTAGAAGTTGAATCTGTACAAAGGAAAAAGTTCCAGGTGCCCTGGGGAACTAGATTTAGCAATTAATTCTTAATTCACACTGCTTTCTTGTAGAAATGTAGTTAGAAAACCTTTTTTATATAAACATTGTATGTGCACAGTGCTTGGCTATCTTTATTCTACTTTTTACTTTTGGCTAGTTTAAGTTAATCAAAAACAAGCATTCTTGTCAAGCTATGAAACAATCTCTGAACAAGATTAATTTTTTTCCACAACTTTTCTGCACAACATGCATTTAATAAAACAGGCACAGAAACAAACTACAGAAAAAAAGCTTCACAGAATGTTTCCAAGCAATTAGCTGAAAAAAGTAATATACCTTTATTATTCGAAGTCTTTGAATCCTCATGGAAACCACCATTTATCCCATTCGTACCATAATTCTGTGAAAAAATAAGGTAATCTGTTTAGTATAATAAAGAAGCATTAAAATAAATCGAAATTAAGTATCATATATAAGTGATTAATAATAGTCAGTTTACATTGCCAGACTGTGAGCTGACATTCACAGTTTTCACGACCATATCCTTGGTTTGTTGGGATGTGAAATCCAGGTTGGTGCTGAGGTATGGCTCAGAGGGACCTAGAGGATCCAGACTGGTCAGATTGATGGTCTTATGGCTTTTAAATGGAAGGGAAGGTAGGTCTCTGCCCCAGTCTGATTGTGGCATGTCAACAAAATAATTTATTTCAAAAACACAGAATGAAAATGATGTACGACTACAGACATAATACTATATTCTAAATAGTGGGGATGAAAGACAGACCACCTTCCCCTGCCATGCAGTCAGAATGAGCTCCACACACAACAGGTTTACAAACAAGCTTACAGATGCCCTCTGATCTGGCTTCAGTCACAAACCATAAGCCTGCTAGTAAACACTGAAAATATGAACCTCTGATGTTATCAAGAACCACAAACGTTAGAAACCAAGATAATGAGAAATAATGCACACTGTTTAGGAAGAACTTCCCACCAGGCCAGGGAAAAGTAGACAATAAAGGAATAGATAACCCAAAATTTTTGGGCCAAAAACTATTACAGTTAAAAGGTGTTATTTCGTTCACTGGAACACATAAATAAAAGATGTGCTCCACAAATAATAAAAAAAATGACATGAAATAAAATAAAATAAAATAAAACCTGAATTTTGTGCACACAGGTAATATGTTTTTCCCTTTTTGGAGCTTGACAGTCCACTATATCAGTGTAAAATATAATGTTAGCATTTTTTCTGTGCTTCACAGAA